GGCCGAGGACCGGCAGGGCTCTCCCCGCTTCTCCCGGGGCCCGTCCCGGGTGGCATACCCCGGCCTCTCGGGGCCCGTCCTACCCCGTCCCCTCGCCCGGTCCTCAAACACCTCTCCCGTCTGCCGATCCCCGGCGCTGGAGGGACGCTCGGAGCTTCTAAAGCGAAATAAAAACCCTTAAACCGAAACTGCGTGGGAAAGCGGCACGGGAGGCCGCGCTCGCCGGTAACCCGCTGCGCGGCGGAAACGAGAGCACCCCCGCTCCTCTAAGCGGCCCCGGCCCCCGCTCGGCACCCTGAGGCCCGAGGGAGATGGGGAGATGGGGGAAACCCTGGGGGGATTTGCTCTGCTCCGCTCCGCTCCCGCCTGGGAAGTGGATTATGGCAGCGTGGGATCCTGGGGGTTCAGGGCTGCAGGGCTGCTGGTGCTGGGCAGAGCTGGCCCCCGGGATCCTCCTGGGGAGGGTGGCGTGGAGGTACTGTCATGTCTCTCACTGCCAGGCTTCAGGGCCGAGCTGACGTTCAGGCTGGCCAAAGGTCCCCGGCGTTGCCGGATGAGCGAGGAGGTGACGGCAGCAGCACGCCAGAGGACACGTCCCTCCCGGGTGGCTCTGCCCTGAACCCCTGCCACAAGGACCCCAGCAGCCAAGAAACCCCCCACGTGCTGGGGGGTGGCTGCGCTCTGGCTCCTCAGGGCTGGGCTGGGAGCGGAGGGTGGGCTCATTTGTTTCCTCCACTCGGCTGAGCATTCGCCCGCAGCCGCTCGGCCCTGAGAAAGGCGATGGAGAGGAATCCCACGGCGGCAGATGCCTGCGCAGAGGAAAACCAGGGCAAGCGTGTCACGGTATGGCCCCAGGATGGCAGGGGGGTCCACGGCCTGCAGCATCAGCGCAGCACAGCCCTCCCCTTGGCAAGGGGGTTGTGAGCAGCGTGGCCCCATAAGCATGCATGTTTGGGGGAGGACACGGAGGGTGGGCATTTCTTGGGAGCGCTGCCCTAAGTCAGGAAACAAAACCCAGCTCCAAGAGGGCTGGTTTGAGCCTGGGACCGCGATAAGGAAGAAAGGCAACAGCAAAGGAAACAGCCGGAGCTGCTTTTGGGTCTGGCAGACCCCAGCAGCACTCGCAGGACAGCAGGGTGCAGGCAGCACCATCGCACCCCAGCTTGCCTCCTCCCTCCAGGGCCCTTTGCGGCTCAGCGCAATGTTAAGGGAGCTCAGACTGGTGGGGGGAAAACAGAAAAGAGCCAACGTCTGTTTGTGTTGAAGCCATCCAGCATTTTTTGCAGACATCAGCCAAGCAGCAGCAGCAATGCCATTGGTGGGAAGACGGAGTTATTTGGGGAATGCTGGACTCCGCACCATGAGAACAGCAGGGGAGGAGGTTGGTTTTAATTTAACAGGCCATGTTTACTCTTCCCCTCTCACCTTTGGACTGTCTGAAATGTGCAATGAAAGCCCTGGCGGGGAGGAAGGGGCCACGAGTGCTTCCCCCTCCCCATGGCTGCTCCCAGGGCCCCCCTGGCCCTGCTGCTCCACAGTGCCTGGGTGCAGCAGCCTCCCACGTTGCAGACCAGGGGCAGGTTTTTCTCACGCAATAAAAAAACCAGGCAGATGCAAAGCCTCGAAAATACCCAGCTTTAATCTGTAAACTTGCAAAGAGAGACCCGGGAGCAGAGCAGAGGCAAAGGAGGCACCAGGGCTGGTGAGAGACAAGCAGCTCGGGCGCAGGGCCAGGGAAGATGCTGATGGGGACGGATGTGCCCGCCAGTCCTCAGCTCCCATGTTCAGCATTGCCGTGCCCTCCGCAGCTGCCCTTTGCATCAGCTCTTCAGCTACATAACCAAATATTCACCCTCTCACCACCCTACACAGCGCTTGGGGCAGCTGGCAGCATGCCAGAAGGGCCGGCAGGGTCAGGCTGAGCACCGGGGATGCACAGCAACGTGGGACCTTGCACCCTGCACCCTGCCAATGCCCACTGGGCCAACATAGCAGCGTTTGCTGGCTGAAGCATCTCAGGCATCTGCTCTCCAGAGAGTGGGTTTCAGCTGCTATTTGCCAGTGGCAGGAAGAAAGTTGCATTACATGCACAGCGATGGGAGAGAAACCCAGCCCACCGGCAGGCACGGCAGCCCCAGGCCACCACAGGCACCTCCACCCCACCAGCTCCAGCCTGAGTGAGGCCGGAGATGGTTTTGCCCGGAGGGATTGAAAAGAAAAATGCTTTTCTCAGTAAAACAAAAAAAAAGTCTCTATTTCCTGTGGCTACAAGAGGGGGGAAATAAAATTTTTTTCCAAATTGCCATGTGTGCTAGAAGTGCCCCAAGCGGCTTGGGTGCTCCCAGGGGAGTTTTATTTCTCACACCAGCTGCATGGGCAGGGAGCGGGCTTGGCTGGACGCTTCCCCATCCCAGCTCTTCCCTCCAGCAGAACTGGGACACAATGGGGACATTGCTGCCCTTGTGGCAGCAGGAGGATAAAAGCCGACAGCAGCAACCAGAGCAGCGAGGAGCCACGGCCGAGACTGGGCCCCAGCTGCACCCGAGCATGGGGAAGCTTGGGAGGCAGAGCCGAGGGTCCCTGGAGGGAAGCTAGAGCCCAGCAGCACGGAGGACATGGGGGCTGGATCGGGCCCTTCCAGCTGGACGAGAGCAGCGCCGAGAGCAGGGATGGCTGCAGGGGAGGAGAGGGCCAGGGGCTGCACGGGGGCTCATCCATGGCACACACACCCCCTCCAGCCACCCCAAAGGGACCTCAGGGGGGGCCCTAGATCCTGACGCCGGGATGATGTCTCTCCTCCTGCACGCTGC